TCCATCTACAATGAAAAAAAATTATAAAAAATAAAAAGATTCGGGACCATCCTTCAAATCAGTCTTTAAAGGATGTTATTGCAGTCATCAAAATTTTAAAAATTTTAAGTTTATTTTCTTGCTTTCTTCATACACATCAATTGTCTAAAATTACTTTTCTATCTAGCAATTCACCTCTTCTCTTTATTAGCAGAATTTGGGGTTTCCCATTCTAGCAACTGTGTATTTATGCAGGTGATTCGCCTTCCTTAATTTTCTCTGTCTGGCCTGTCGTCACCACTGTTTCTCTGTGGACTCACTGAGTCAGGTACCTCCTTATCTTACAAATGAAGAAATGAGGGAAAAGGAGATGATGTCTTGGGCCACGTGACAAGCTCGTGGTAGAGAAGGGCCTCCCTCCAGCCCTCTGGTCCTGAGCCACACTGCCTCTTCCCTCAATCATGACTTCAAATTTTTCTCATCTCAGAATTTTGAAGTTTTCTACTTTAAAATTTAAGAGACTCATGAATCGCACATTTGCTTCCCCCACCTGGAAGTAGTGCACTCATTCCTTTAAAGCCTAAATGGGAAAATTACTACTAGAAAAGAGACTGTTGTTTGGGGCATGTCAGGCAGCTGTGGGTGCACTTCCCTCCCCTCTCATTCAACAGTTCAAAGGTCTGGTTCCTTTTTTAATTATTTGTTCTAATTGGTTATACATGACAGTAGAATGTATTTTGACTTGTTATACACAAATGGAGCACAACTTTTCATTTCTCTGGTTGTACACAATACAGAGTCACACCATTCATAGAATCAAACTCAAACTATCACTATTTGCTGACGATGTACATATACCTAGGGTAATAATGTGCGTCTCATTCCATCATCCTTCCCACTTCCATAACCACTCCCCTTCTCTCACTCCCCTCTACCCAATCCAAAGTTCCACCATTCTTCCCTTGCCCCCCTTTTTATGGATCAGCATCCACATAGCAGAGAAAACATCGGGCCTTTGGTTTTGGAGGATTGGCTTATTTTACTTAGCATGATTTTGTCTATTTCCATCCATTTATCTGCAAATGCCATAATTTAATTCTTCTTTAAGGCTGAGTAATATTCCATTGTTTATATATACCAGAGTTTCTTTATCCATTCATCTATTGCAGGATGCCTAGGTTGGTTTTAACTATTGTGAATTGAACTTCAATAAACATTAATGTGGCTGTGTCACTGTACTATGCTGATTTTAAGTTCTATGGGTATAGACCGAGGAGTGGGATAGCTGGGTCAAATGGTGGTTCCATTCCATATTTCCTAAGAAATCTTCATACTGCTTTCCAAAGTGGTTGCACCAATTTGCAGTCCCACCAGCAATGCATGAGTGTACCTTTCCCCCTCACAACCTCACCAACATTTATTATTGCTTGTCTTCTTGATAATTGCCATTCTGACTGGAGATGAAATCTTAGAGTAGTTTTGATATGCATTTCTGTAATTGCTAGAGATTTTGAAATCCTAGCCAGAGCAATTAGACAGGCAAAAGAAATTAAATGGATACAAATAGAAAAAGAAGAACTCAAACTATCACTATTTGCTGACAATATGATTCTGTGTTTAGAGGATCCAAAAAATTCCACCAGAAAACTTCTAGAACTAATAAGTGAATTCAGCAAAGTAGCAAGATATAAAATCAACACCCATAGATCAAATACATTTCTAGACATCAGTGATGAATCCTCTGAAAGAAAAATTAGGAAAACTACCCCATTCACAATAGCCTCAAAAAAATAAAAAAATAAAAATACTTGGGAATCAAACTAACAAAAGAGGTGAAAGATCTACAGTAAAAACTACAGAACGCTAAAGAAAGAAATTAAAGAAGACCTTAGAAGATGGGAAGATCTCTCATGTTCTTGGATAGGTAGAATTATTATTGTCAAAACGGCCATACTACCAAAAGTGTTACACAGATTTAATGCAATTCGGGTTCCCTATTCCTCAGCTTCCTGATATCCCTGTTCCTGAGATTTCTTTCCAAAAGAAAAATTTTCATATTAATTCTTCACTGTAATTGGAACATGAGAACCATACAAGAATATAAGTTTCCATACTTAGATACAACAGGGAAAAGAAGAAGAAGAAGAATTTTAGAATTTATATTTAAACAATTTTTGATTATCCTAATAACTTCTTTTGAAATTCTGATATTTCATTATGATACAGGATGAATTTCTTATTATAATATTTGGGACCACTAGGGTCATAGATTTGGGATTGATTTTTAGATTTACATATACAAAATGAGGTATATTAGGGATAGGACCCACGTATAACATGAAATTCATTTATATTTCATATATACTTTATATACATAGCTCGAAGGTATTGTGACAGATAGGAGGAGCCAACATCTTAGTCTACCAAGGGTGCTTTTTTAAAGATGAAGAAATTAAGTTATAAGTAACATGGAAACTTTATTATTCTCCTCTGTTAAGCAAAATAAATTTATCTTCAGACATGAAAAGACCATAAGAAAAAGCATAAGTGATTGTCATCCCACAGACCTGCCTATTAAAATCCAATAAGACTATAGGGAATTATTTGAAAAATAAAAGCTGCTTATCTTTAAGTTCTAAAAAGATGATATGGTCCCTGCTAAGTCAGAGTGTTGAATGGGATTTGACCAGAGCAGAAAGAACATTCACTAGAGAGCATGCTCAAGGAACAAGACAGCCAACTTCGGGGTGGAACTAGAGGCATCGATTGTGTGTGGCTGGCTCAGCTGCTGCTATCTTTGCTGTTAGAATGAGGGGTGGGCAGAATGAACCACCCTACTGATGGAAGGAGGCTACAGGTATCGACCAGAATTCTCTGCTGTGGTTGGAGGGAGGGACATTTGAGATATATAAGGTACAAACCACTGCTGCATACAGCATGGGAACCATTCATTATAATCTCCAAGGTGAAAGTAAAGGGGAATCTGGGTAGCATCATGACCAAGTGAATGTCTGAACAGAAACAATCCTGGAAATGAAAGAGAAGGGGAAAGAAAAGCAGGATATTGTTAATTGCCCTTGGCTAATGTCTGCGAGACCAGGGGAATTAATACAGCAAGAAGAGCAAAACTAAAGAGTAGCAGCCCCCCGAGAGTTAGGAGCGTGGGCAAATTAACCATGGGCTCTGGGGTAAATAGCCATCACACCTGAGAACCAAAAAAGCACCCTTGGTAGCCTAAGACCGCTGGCTCCTCCTAACTGTCATTAATGAAACTGCCCTGCAATTGACAGCAGGAGATACAAGACCTAATGTTCTCTTCACCTTTTCTCAGGACCAAGTTTTTTGGTTATTAATGATCATTTAGGAAACATGGTATCTATAAGAATTCTGAGCACAGGAATATGCATGTTGTTGGAATGGATGTTCTCATTCTACCTTATTTAAGAAATATCTTCTTTCATTTCAAAATGAAGATGGCTCTCTCACATGACCCTTTAGCTTTATGAATCAGTGCAAATCTCTAGGCTTCAGCCATAGAGGCACTGGTTTCTCAATTCGCTATCCCTGACTGGTGTCTTGATGATGAAGATACACTTATGGAACAACTAAACTAATTAATAAGTTTCAAACACCAGAGCAGCAGAAAATCAGAAAAATATTACAGACTAGCATGTAGTTTTGAAAAAGGAGATGACCCAAACGTTGGAGGTAATAATATCTCAATAATAATAATCTTTAATATGCATAGCAAAGTGTTCAAGTGTATTTTGATGAAATTGTAATAAACACCATGGAAAAGTACTGTTTATAGGTAAGTAGTCAGGCTTAGAAAATTTTAGCCACTTGTCTAAAGAATCATGACCCAAATATTGTGAAAATAAGAATTAAATGCAGGTGTTTAGCTTCAGGTCCAGAGCTCCGTCCCATATGACACCTGCCTCTTCCAAGCTTTAAGTGACATCAAAGTGTTCTCGTTGTTCACACATTAATGCAACACCTACTCACTGCAAACCTATGTGTTAATCATTATATCAGGCACTGCAAATGCTGTGATTGACAGGATATAGTATCTGTCTTCAAAACAAGCCTACAATCTGGCAAAGGACAGAGGCAAATCCAAGCTGGTCATGATGAAAGAGTGAGGTGTAAGCTACACAGAAGGAATAGAGCAGGTTGCAGGAGCACATGTGTAAAACATCTTACCAATCATGAGTTAGAGAGGCATCCTACAGGAATTGATGTTTATACTGAGTCCCCAAGGGTAAGTAGGAATTGAAGAGTGTTCCAAGCCAAAACTGAAGCATATGAAGTCACTCCTAAAAGGGAGGTGATTCTAAGACAGGCTCAGGACAGGGAAAGACCTGAAGGTTTATATATGCCACTTAGGTTACCTATTCCTGCTATTTGACAAATTAGAGACATCATCCATCCATCCATTCATTCATTAATCCATCAATGCATCATCCATCCACCTATCATCCATTCTTCTATCTCCCTGCCTTCCTCCTTTTCTTCCTTTCTTCTTTTTTCATCCATCCTTTCTCCATCAGCCTCCATATACCCATCCATCAGCCTCCATATACCCATCCATCATCCATCCATCCACCCTTCCTTCCATCCATCCATTTTTTCACAGTAGGTGCTAGATAATTATTGAATGAATTAATTTTTTAAAATGTTTATTGAGAGACATTTATGTGTCTGGCATTGTGCCAAGCAATGTGGAGGACATAAAGATACAAGAGGCATTATCTTAGTTGGCAAGATGCTTAGAAGCTAATTGAAGAGATTTACACATGCGCATATCGCTATAATGGAACCCTGATGGATTGGGGGCCCCAATAAATGTCCTCAGGTCTTATAGATTGTGGAGACATTATTTGAAGAAAACCTAAGTTTCAGTGATAAAATTAACAAGCTGACATTAGACTAAAAATTCTCTTTCTTTTTTTTTCTGTTTGCTTATTTGTTTTATCTTATTTATTTGTTTGTTTGTTTTCCTATAATTTGCTCTTTGACAGATTCTGTGGCAACAGCATCTGGGCCATTACTAGTCGAAGTTGCCAAAACTCCTGGTGCCAGCCTTGGGGTTGCCCTAACTACCTCGATGTGCTGTAACAAACAGGTCATTGTCATAGACAAAATCAAATCTGCAAGCATTGCAGACAGGTGAGTGTCACAGAAAGCGCCTACCTTTAAAATTGCGTGTGTATTTAAAAAATTATGCATATATACACACACACCACACATACACACTTACATAACACACATACACAGTAAAAAAAAAAAAAAAAAACAGCTCTCTTGCCAGTTTATACAAGTTTAAGGTAAGAAAACAAGTCAATATGTGGGACTTAAAAATTTACCTACACTATTGATCACCCTGGAATGTAATGTGATTTTATTCAATGGTTGGAGTACTCTTTATCAATTAAAAAAAAAAAGTCAAGCAAATTGTCTTACTGTGGAGCAGCTGACCTGGTCTTCATTAAGTCCAGTAGAGAGAAGTCAAATGTTTTCCTGAGTTGTTATCAGTTCAATCCTGCTACCATAAAATTGTATTCCTTTTGTTCTTACATAAATAATATTTTAAAAAGAATATCATCTTTAAAGACAAGTCTGAGGGGCTGGGGCTGGGGCTTAGTGGTAGAGTGCTTGCTTAGCATGTGTGAGGCGCTGGGTTCAATCCTCAGCACCACATAAAAAATAAAGAAAGAAAATGTGTCCAACTACAACTAAAAAAAATATTTTAAAAAGACAAGTCTGAGACTACCATAGTAAATTAATCTTGGGTTTCACAACTTTCCAAAGTCTCTTAAAACATCATTCATTCCAGCGTCATAATAAAAATCGTACTTATTTTCCTAATTAACATTTTAGACTTGTAAGGTAAAAAGGGAAGGGGAAAAAAAAGATTGTCTTCCCACTTAATGAATTATTTTACAGCTCCTGAAAAGAAAGTCCTCATCTCTTGTAGTGGAAGCACTTCAAGTAAATCAACATGGAGTATATGTTAGATGGAAGGGATGGCTTGAAATCTGGAGAAGTGCACTACTCACACCAGTCTCCCCTGTGTTTCCAGCCCTCTTCTCCTCGTGGCTCCACAGGGATCCGCAGCCACCCCCACTGGTGGTCAGTCTACAGCTCCACTGTAGTCTTACCCTAACGTGCAGTTCTTTAACAGTGGCAGCCATTGATCCAGGGGTGTTCTCCAGTCCAATGGTGTAGGATGCTTTAATCGTCTCCCTCTGTTTTTTCCCATTCCGCAGGGGGTAACCAGTTTAAGGAGCTGTCCACTTGACTGGTACGTCGGGATGCTGACTGCTGTGTTTGCTTTTCTCCACTCATCCAGTAGCCAGCCCCTTGAATTCAGCAAGATGTAGCAGCTAGCCCCACCCCCAGCTTTCCCCTTGACTCACCCCACAGGCCTGGTTTTATTACTCACTTGATTCCTGAATAATTTCCATTGCCATCAAGAGATTTTGTACTAATAAATGTTTAACTCCAGAATAACAAAATAAAGCAGAATAATAAAGACCTGGTGCTCTGAGAGCTTATATGAAGGAATTCTGAGGAAGTAGTAACCGAATCTCCTCAAGTTATTCTCATTCACATATAAAAAAAAGACCCTATTCCAATTCTAGGAGTCATGTCTCTAGATTCTGAATAGTAGCCAACTCAGATTTATAGATAGAAACTCGTAGGAGGAAGAAACACAGAAAAAGTCAAGGGGAAAATTCTCCCTGTGCTACACTGTCCTCTTGCTCACTTCACAACATGCAGCATCGCCCATCCCCAAATAATATTTTTTGAAGAGGACAAGAGAAAAAAAATGTTCCTTAGCATTTTTCTGCATTCTCTACAAGACTTTACATTCTGATTCACATCCAAGGTGCTTATAATTTGACCGATGGTGTTTCCTATAACACTCAAACTTTTCCTTTTTTTTTTAAAAGTAAATGAAAACTGTGTGAAACTATGAAGGACATGAAAGTCGTATTCCAAAGAGAAAGACACTTCATGGTACCCAGTGTTTCTCCTTCCCGTAGATGTGGTGCGCTGCACGTGGGGGATCACATCCTGTCCATCGATGGCACTAGCATGGAGTACTGCACGCTCGCGGAGGCGACTCAGTTCCTGGCGAACACCACTGACCAGGTCAAGTTGGAGATCCTTCCCCATCATCAGACCCGCCTGGCCCTGAAGGGACCTGACCATGGTGAGAGGATCCATCTCTTTATCTTAGTCTTACCCTTGTCACTTCCTCCAGAGAGTTAGAAAGCAGAAAGACACTGAATTCAATTCTGCCTTTATGCTTCTTTTCAAAACAATAGGTTATCTTTGTGTACCCTGTTTCCTCTTCCAAATCTCTTTTTTCAAGCCACTCGTAATTTGCTGGAAATCCCAAAGTTGCAGAAAGAATCTTTGTTGGAAATAGAATTTTCAGGGCTAGTACTATTTGATATTTTTTTAAAAAAAATGTCTTTGGTAGAAATTGAGTGTGGTAAGAAGGGGGAATAATTTGACTTCCCTATAGAAGTATTCATATTGAATTTCCAGTCTATATAAAAGTTAATAAAGGCAAATAGTAAAATTCACCTTTTAAAATAAAATATATACTGATAGAAAACTCCTCAAGTGTTTGGTAGGGAGCCCCAGTGGTAGGAATAGCTGAGCTCCTATATATTTTGTCTATTTTCTACAGTGGTGTTTTTCTTAGAAGAGAGAACAACCTTTCTGATCAAACATCTGACACAGGACAATCAATACTTGACTCCATTTATTCAATAAAAAGTATCAGCTGAGGGGATCTGCATTTCAGTCTTGAAGTTCACAGTTATGTCTTCAGAGTATTTATGTATCATCTACCTGTTCACCTTCAAACAAAACCTGGTGTAAGAGGCTGGGTGTAGGGTCTCATGCCTATAATCCCAGCAGCTCAGAAAGTAAGGCAGAAGGATCGAGAGTTCAAAGCCAGGCTCAGCAAAAGCAAGGCGCTAAGCAACTCAGTGAGACCCTGTCTCTAAATCTACAGCTAAATAAATAAATAAATAAATATTTTTTAAAAAAAATACAAAATAGGGCTGAGGATAGGGTTCAGTGATCGAATGCCTCTGAATTCAATCCTCAGTAATGAAACAAAACAAAACAAAACCTGGTATAAGTAAAAGGACTTGAGCCACAAATCAAATGATGTCAGGCTCTCCAGTAAGGTCTTTGTCCCAACTCCTGCCTGTCCCTTAAGCTAGTGCTCTCTTTATTTATTTCTTGAAGCCAGGAGCCTCACTTGCATTGGCCTAAAAGAGGGGAGAATACATTTCTGTCTATTTAAAGAAAGCACATTTTCATGAGAATTGAAATTTTGCTTATGCAGAGGTCATTTGTATTATGTGTTTATCACCTTCCAAAATGTGCAGCTCTTCTCTGCAGTGAAAAAAGAAGGAAACAAAAAAAGAACTAGATAATTTTCATACTGAATGAGTCAGCTGGATGCAACATTTTTAATTAAATGGAGCTTAGACAGCCCTGGAGCTAATGAAAATCTCTAGTACACATTACCCTTATCAGATTTTAATTTTACACATCGGAGTAGAGAAATGATGCAGCATAGGCAGGTTAAGAAAAGAAAATCAGCATCATTTGAATAGAGATGCTAAGGAACTATAGGAAGGTGAAGTTCATGGCATACACACCATTCCTACCAGGAGCCCCAATGAGCCTTTCCTGCAAACAGGCCAAGAGGAGAGAACACTAAAATTGCCTAAGTTTCTTGAAAGTGGATCTTAAGTTGCATTGGATTTGGAGCATCGAGTGTAAGAGTGGGTGCTGGGTGGTGCATGTTAAGCATGATGTTTTGCTTGCTCCATCCTGAAACCAGTGAATCAGAAATGCATAACAGACCCTCTTAAAATGCTATTGTCTTTTCAACCTCATTTATTTTACTTTGATTTTCCCTGTACACAAATTATAAATGGCTCAACTAGTTTCCAACTCTTGAAATATTAATTAGTTTTACCTCCTTGCCAAGACAATTTTAAAAAATGAATATAGATACTAAAATGTATAGACCAAGAACACATGTTTTTTCTTCACTGTGGAAAACCTGATATTTATATTGGAGGGGCAGGAGGCTGACAGTTTATGTGACTCCAGCTTATACTTCCAATCCCATCATCAGCCTTTGCTAAAAGTTGTTCACCATCTTCCTAACCTAACATATTGGCATCTCCCCTACATTGTAAAATCAAAATCAGACTTGGATTTCCAAGAGGATATAAATACTAACTCCCAAACTTAATTAAATCATGGTCAAAAAAGAAAAATAGTATAAGAAAAATTTTGTTGTGTTTGAAATTTTCAAACTTCTATTTTTGTATTAGTCAAGTTTCACATAGTTTCAGTCTTTTTCCATAAGACAGTTCTGGTTATTGTTTCAAGACCTCTGATGCCAAAACAGCATGTCTCCCATCCCACAGGTAGATGGAGATACATTTCTCAAATTTTGTTAGCAACAAAGCTTTCACCACAGTGTTTTCAGGGCAAGGTGAAAAAAGAAATTCATGGTACCTTTGGTAGTAGAGAACCACATTAAAGAAGTTGACAAAAGTGAGTTTTCAATGAGGTTAAAAAGTATTCCCATTGAGGGTCTTTGGGAAATATAATGACAACTAAAGAAAACTGAGACTTTGGAAAAGAAAATGTGGCCAGTGTCACTAAACTAGTTACATTCAATACAAAGAGAACATTCCATTTATGAAATCCAGGGGCAACCAGAGCAACTGTTACCCTTTTTCTCAAACATCCTGGTCTGGGCAAGGAGAACAAAGGACAGCACCTTCCATGTTATATACCTCTTAAGACTGCCCCAGTGATGCCACCATGACATGACATGAAAAGCATTTTATATTAAACTTGCTGTTTGCTTATCTGCAATAAGGTATTCAGGACACACATAGGAAGACGCAGTAGAGTGTGGTGTGGCTGAGGGCAAAAACTCTAGAACAGACTTCCAGAGCTTTAAGGCTGGCTCCACCACGTGGGACTTTAAGCAAGCTTCCCAACTCTTCTTCAGTTCAGGTTTTCATCTGTAAAGTAGGGGTTATAATACCTGTCTTATGGGAATAAGATGGGATTATCAGAGATGATACATGAAAAATTGCTCAGCATAGTGCCTGGAATATAGTAAGAACTCAGTGGAAGCAGGCTGCCTTTTTTTGCAAAATAAGAGAATGTGTCTGAATGTGCTTTGCAAAATGAAAGAGCATGCCCAAAAATGTAACCTCTGATTATTAAATTCCTGAAATATTTACATAATACATGAAAATTAAGTGCACCGCTATAAAGCACAGTAGATTAGGAGTGTACATTCAGAAAAGAAGACTCTCTCCTCTGCCCTAAGTTATTTGGTGAAGACTTTTTGTACTCATTATCCATGGCATGCAATTTTGTGTATCATCTTATATCATTTTGTCTCTAAGTTATTTCATTGTATATGAAGATTCAGCCCCTAGTAGTAGTTCAAAGTCCAGGTAAAGTTTACAACAGATATTTAACCAGCCTGCAACAATGGGCACAGTGCTAGGCACACAACAGGTAGTCAACAATACCTTTCTTATTGATTTATTAATTGGGCTTGACAGTCCTTATGAATGCTGAGGAATGTTCAAAGCAGTCAATTAAGAACTGGGTCAAAAGGTGGGTGTGGAATTCTGAAGCCCATTCACTCTGCCCTAACTTTATTTTAAACACAGATAATATTTTGTTTAGAGTACAGTAGGGGGGCTGTGGTTGTAGATTAGCCAGACCCAATAATAACTGCTTCTTGCTAAAAAGTTAACTTTTATACACCAAAGTGAATGAGGACGGTGAAAGATCCACTAGGGACGTCCCTGTGACACTTTTTTATCCAAGAGAAAATGCAGCTGCTGTGTGGATATGGACACTCTGACTGCTATCCCTGCTCCCCTGTGCATTCATTTACTGATTTATTCCCACATCAATCAGTATGTACCAGGCACTAGTCCAGTTGCTAAAATATATCTAGTGAGTAAGGCAGTGGATCCCTCTTCTTGTAGAATTTAAATTCTTGTAGAAAGAGACCAACATTAAAAACTGTATTATATAAATAACGCCATTTCAGACAGTAGTAAGTGCTTTGAAAAATATAAAATAATAATGGGATACCATTTGAGAGGCCGCTAGTTCATCCAGGGACGTCAGCAGTCACTTCTCTGAGAAGGTGGCATCTGAGCTGAGACCTGAATGATGAGAAGGAGCCCGCTGCACAAATAACTGGGGGAAGAATAGCAAGGTAAAGGCCTGAAGGCAGGCAGGAAGCCTGGCTTGTGCTAATAACAAGAGTTGAGGCCAGTGAGGCTGAGAATATGAATGGAGAAGGCGGTGATACAGATGAAGCCAAAGAGAGGAGAGCCTGCGTTGGATTGTGGGTATAATGATAAGCCCTCTGAACAAGAGTGACAGGATCCAACCTAGATACTTAAAAGCTCCGCCTGGCTGTGTTGCGGATACTGAAAAGCAGGTGTGCAAGAGACGAATCAGAGAACCAAGTCTGGAGGTGATGCCGAGCTCTAGGTGAAGGAGGTGGTGGCTTGACCCAGGATAGTGGAGAGGGAGAGGAAACCCAAACAGCAATGGAGTGGAAGGAAAGGGCGGGATGATCTAAGACTGCACAGTTGGCTTTGAAAGTGTTCTGCAGATTTCTGACCAGCCCTCTGAGACTTAAGTGTTCAGTGAGTGAAATTTGTTGAGTGACTCACATCTATTTCCTTTGAAAAGTCCATTACTATATAAGTGGAGAGAACAGTAGGAGAATCAGTGTAACAACTCCCAATTCATTTGTTCTTATCCACGTCAGCACCACACTGAGCTCCTTGCGTGCTTAACCCTCACAGCAGTCCTGGGGAGCAGACGCTCTGATGACCTCCAGTTGGATATGAGGAAACTGAGGCTGAGCGGCTGAGTAGCTAGCCAAGGTCATACAGAGAAGAAGGGCAAAAAGCATCCAAAAACCAGATCGTCCTCATTGCACAATGACTGTCCATGCTAGGGCTTGTGTTCCATGTACTGTCTCACTCCAGAAAGCACAAGAAGCACATGGAAGCTGGTTTCATGGACAGTGTAACTTAAGTTCTTATCTACATAAATATATACATTCAGCCCCTCTATATGAATAACTACTGTTAAATAATTCACATGTAAGACACCTAACATTAGAATCCTGAAAAACTGAAAGAAATAAAACCTCATAGTTATTTTAACTTTGTCAGATCGTTCAGTGAAAAACTTCCTGTCAATAGCAAACGTAATTACTCATATATCAGAATGCTGGGTAGAAAATCACATCAAAACTAGGATAGAAGCATGATAAGCACTCTTTAATAAATAAAAGGGGCACCAAGTCTTTGAAATAAACCTCATATTTTATGAAATAGATAGAATATGTGGAGTATTTCAAGAATTAACTATTTCTAATGGAAAAGCACTTTTTCCAAAAAAAAAAAAATTTAAATATATTGAGACTTTTATCTTCTCCTTTTCAGTCAGGATACAGATAAGATTCTGATACTGACCGATGATTAGAGTGGTTTATTGTTGAGGAAAATCAAGTCCAAGTGATGGATCATGGCGTAATTAAAATGTCAGAGCAGTAAATTGTGATGTGTGACTAGTAACCCACACGAATCATGAGACAATGTGATTTATTGTTCCTTCTTTTCTTTTTCTCCAAACAAGTGCTACTAAATGGCCAATATTTGCAAATCTTTAATTACTAATCGTATACCATAGATCTTTTTGGAGCTGACTTTTAAGTTTAAAAAAAAATGTTTTTAATCTCTACTGCAAAACATAGGGAGAGATTAGAAATTGATTCAATGGCCATCCTAAAAGGAGAAAAAAATGGGTCGGACCCAGACATGCATTAGTCTTGGGAAGATGAAAAGTTTCCATTGCTGATGTTAACCATCTCTTTCGCTGACCACTGAGAAAAGGCAAAAGCCAAGTGATTTTTTTCCTTTGCAATCAGCTTTCATTTTGTTACACTTTTTCTTTTTTATTTGTGCAATTCAGTTACTTTTTCCTCTTTTTTTTTTTTTGGTTCTTTGTTTGTTTGTTTGTTTTTCTTATTTCTCATCATCACTTCATGTGGGCAGTGAAAATTCAGAGGAGCGACAGGCAACTTCCCTGGGATTCCTGGGCCAGCAACCACTGCAGCCTTCACACCAACCACCACTATAATACGCACCACCCTGACCATTGCAGAGTGCCAGCCCTGACATTCCCGAAAGCGCCTCCTCCAAACAGCCCTCGTAATGTTCCAGGCTTTCTCCTCTTGGTCTTTCATTTAAATTATATTCTTCTCGATCCTTCCACCTCTAATTCATTCCATCTTCTGCTTTGTGGGTGTTGCGTGCTTTTTTTTTCTTAGTAACGATGTGTTATTTGCAATATCTCCTTAGTCTTTTCCATCAGAAAGAATTTGTCGTTAAGAAAGGAAATTAATGTTCAGAATTCTTGATACATGATTCAGGAAATAACAGTTCAGAATATTATATGGAGTATGGTGTTCTCAGTTCTTTGTGTGTGTGAAATCCGTGTCAGAAAATATCTATGAAAATTAGATCATGTATCAGATGCCTTGGGTTGTTGTTTGTGGAGAACATTGTTTAAATGTCTGTTTTTTTGTTGTTTGAAGCAAACCTCATAGAGTCTCTGTTTTCCTGTGTGCTTCTGAGGCTCTTGCTACTCCTCAGCACTTCTAAGCTCTTGTAACTCTTGAGATTCCAAAGTGCTGTCTCCTGGCTCCTGAAGCCTTGTCTCTGTCTGGTTGGGTAGCTACTAGCCGCTGCTGTTCATCATGTGTGTCTTTCTGAATTAAAGCTGGCTGGCAGGGGTGGCAGCTCAAAGACCATCTGCGAGTGCTCTGTGCCAAGTCTTCACTCTCTTACAGCAGCTGTGGTGTCTTCATCCTTCTCTCCTACCTCCATGAGTGCGTACAGCCTGAGTTCCCTGAACATGGGGACTTTACCTCGAAGCCTCTACTCTACTAGCCCACGAGGAACCATGATGAGGAGGAGACTGAAAAAGAAAGACTTCAAAAGCTCACGTAAGTGAAATGTTACCCAACGTTAGTCATTTGGCCTGTGGAAAACAAGCAGGCACTGGAGTCTTCAATTCGTTGAGACCTGTGGGAAGAGCATTTGAATGCCTAAGTGATCAAGTAGATATAAGAAGCCAGAACTCTGGGCCAAGGATAATGACATGGTGCCCATACTCTGCATGATAATGATTGGCTGGGTATAATTTCGGACAGCCACTGGTTCATACTATCTTTTCCTACAACTTTATATGGACATTTTTTTCTTCCTCTTTTGATGTCATGAAGTAGTCAAAGGTGTGACTTTAGTCAAAGGTGTGACTTTTAAGACTCCTTCTTATATTCTGGATAGCTTTGGATGAAACCTTTATTCTTAGTTTCTTATTCCCTCTAAAGCTATGTTGTAAAACTCTGCCCCCCTTTTGATAAAGGTAATAATCTCATACATTTTTAATGCTATTTCATATAACAAATTAAATTTAACAAGTTATATAACAAATTATTTAACAAATAATATAACAAGTTAAATTTCATACTAAATTATATTTCATGACCTGACTTAGCCCCCACCAAAATCAGTGATAAATTTGAACATGCTTTTTCATATTATATCTCATTCCCAAAGTTCCCCTTACTTTTCTCACTAACTTACCCCAGTGAGACTCACTTCTCTCACATGAATTTCTTATTACCCTTTGCAGCATTAAGAAGGTAGGAAGGATGCTCATATTTACAGCAAACATCCTAAAGTCTAGGAATTTTAACTATCATTCTTGGAAACTCTAGCTTTGGGGACAGCCAAATAAAATATAGACTAAGCAAGACTAGAAAGGTGTAGTTAGCTACTCAGTTTAAGATAGCTGGCTATCTGTACAAAGGAAGAAAAAGGATGATAGAATGTTTTAACAGGGGAGAAACACAAATCACTCCTTAATTTTTCTTTTCTGTAGAGGAAGATCATATTCTATCACCATAATCACAAAACTTTGAGTGAAAGAGATCACTAACATCTCCAACCAGGTCTAATCATGGTTTAGAGAGGTGTGTTTCTTGCCCCTTTTATCTTTTTGGTGGTTGTGATTGTGATTCCTATAAATAAACCTAAAGAAGATGGGGTTTCTTCCTGTGCTGACCGTAGAAATAAAAACAAGGAACAGCCTCAAGTTATTTAAATGAAACCAACCCTGGTCCTTCCAGGCTAGTACTGACCAGATGCTCTTGTAAGAAGGACTGGTTTGCTAGAGATTCGTCATCTCCAGAGGACCTCTCACCAGTCCCATCAGTGCCCCAACATTGAGGGTCACCAGCCATCCCCCACACTGGAAAGTGGTTTCTTCATGTTAAAGGAATCCAAGTGCTTCCTTACAAAGAAAATCATAGAAAAAGAGGGTCACTACCATGATGGATACATGATTTTGACTTGCGTGTCCTTTCAAGTATAAGGAGATTTGTCACCTTCAATATGTGAAAATGACAATGAATTTGAAATTAGTAAAATGGAAGATTGAGTTTAGTCAAAGAAAGAGCAAGAAGCATCAAGAGTTTCATTCATTTCTTAGCTAAGACTAGAGTAAATTATTTACTTTTAGAAGAAACTAGTTGAAGGCAATGAAGTAAAGTGATCATGAGCCTGGACTCTAGAAGTAGGAAGTCTCATTCCAGCATCATACACTCTAGCTAGGGGACCCTGAGCACGTTTGCTTAGCTCTTTATGCCTCAGTGAAAATTAGAGATAAATGTAGTGATTACTTCTTTGGGTGATTTTGAAGAAAAATAATAATAATAATATATATATATATATATATATATATGTGTGTGTGTGTGTGTGTGTGTGTGTGTGTGCGCGCGCGAGCTAAACAATATCTGGTGAATAGTAAGCACTACTTAATTGTTAGTTATGCTGCATAGTTATATTAGTGTTATATACCTGAACCTGAATTGTCCAATGTGAAAGTCTGTTGCCATTGCTTTCAAATTTAGGCATTTTCTACAATGGTACACTTTGACATAATGCATAGATCTTGAGTCTTTCATTTAATGCCTTCAGATTTGAAGCAGATATTTGTATATAAATTTATATAAATATATAATGGCTTCATGTACAGTACTCATTACTAACAGCCCTCAGTAGGGAAGAACAATTAAAATGAATTCATTGATGTTTGTACTTCTGCTTCAAAGGCTAACCATTTGTTTGTGTTAGGCAAGATTTGCTGTGTTGATTAAGGCCATTAGTAATACAAATGAATGATAATGTGTTTGGCTAGCTCAGGTTGATATTGACACATCTTGCATTTTTTAGTAGGGAACAAAGTCGAGGGCACACTGTCACTGACACCCATAACCAACTCAAAAATCAGCATGTTGTTCTCCAACATAGTAAGAATATAAACAGAAACCTGGTTCAGAAAATTTCTAATTCATGTTTTCTGTAGACATTAGCCACAAAAGCACCACTGATCACATGTGCATAACAGGGGGTTTATAAATATATCTCAGGATACCATACATTTTATATTTTAATCAGACGACAAAGCCCCAAATACTACAAACTTTTATTCCTACTTCAAAAAGACTTGAGAAAATTATGATAGTATTCCAAATTCCAGAAAAAAATTTTTGAGAATTTCTTTTTTCTTTTTTAATTGCCTAAGTTTGGTATGGTCACATTAGATGTAAAGATCTTCCCAAGTAACTGAGGATAAAATTTTTATTGCCACTTTCACTGTACCTTGGTTTATTTCCCCCACATTATTTATGTCTTTATTCTGTGCCACTGTTCGCTGCCGCTTTTTGGTACTTACGTTTCTATAGCAACCAGGCCATTTGTATGGATGGTGAATCATGGCAAAAGTCACAAATACAAGAAAAAGTCTCTCCGCTTTATTGATGATGAGTTGAGGCCAGAGCTTGCAAAACAGAAAAACAATAATTCTCACATGTGTTTCCAGTACAAAGTAAGGACATGACTAGGAAATAATGAAATATTCTCACATAAATATTAAAACTTTCTGTACCATTGACCAAAGAGGAAAACACAGAAAGTCTGTAACAACATGTGACAAGGATTAAAACAGCAAGGGCCATGTCTGTTTCACATAGAGACTGGTGTGCACACTTCACTCTAGGCTTTGAGGAGAGTCACAAAGCCCTGGGAAGGTCTCAGAGCATGTCATAGAGGAAACTCTCATCCCTCTTCTGGAATCTTCCTGGCCTTTCTCCCACTACCTGTGTTCCCTCAGAGGCCAAGCCTCCTCCAAAAGTCTTTTCCACATGTCATGGCTGCATGAGGAGCAGTGGATCCGGCTCATTCCTTCCTGTCCCTGTATTCTCAGCTAGGACAGAGACTCCACTTGTTCCCAGGCTTCCGGAATTGCAGCAGACAAAAGTTAGAACACATTCCCAGAATGTTCTTTGCTTCTTTGCTTATCAGCACTTATTGCTAGAGAGGGTAATCTTGAAAAAGTCTGAAAAGAAGAAAATGAGAAAACCTAGCAACTTTCATGGTCTTTTTCACCAACCCTTGAAAAAACAATGGATGACAAGAGCAGCTAATGGTAAGCTTTTCTAAGTGACCATGCGGGGAGCTGTGGGCCACCTCTCCTGCTCTTCTGAACTGGATCATATGATTCACAGTGTGCTGGGTCCACAGCAGGTCGCCACTTCTTTGGAACCCTAGTGAGACAGAAGTCTCAAATAACATGATCAAATTGCATAGATATGTTCTATTAATAAACCCTTTCAGGCCCCATGTTCTCTATACTTTTAAAATTCTTCTCATATCTGATAATAAACCATACAGCCTCGTAAATTAAATAAGCCTTTCTAGAATTTTTAAAAAATCTTTGGCTGTCTTTTGTTCCCCCTGACCTTCCTTACTCTGGGAAAGAAAAAAAAAAAAAGCTATTCCTGCAAAAACAGAGCTGTGAACAGAACCATCCCTGTAAGAATGAGAACAGGACAGAGCAGACTGAGTCCTGAACACAACGTGGATGAACACTAGTGAGCTGATTTCAAATGTAGGGTGTCAGCAACTTAATCATTTCCATCTTCACCTTAGTAGAAGCCCTGAGCCAGAGCCAATAGCTCGTAGCCTTTGCAGATCAAATACCTTGCAGGAGGATCTGCTACTGCAGCAAAAAATTTATCACACAAATCTTAAACTATAGGGTTATAATTCACAAATCACCTTTATTTTCTTTCCTGGCTGACCGCATTAATGAAGCAAGCTAATCAAGCTCATCTTTTTTCTCCTCCAAGTAATATTGGTTATTTTTTTCTTTTGGCTGCTCATTTTTAAATCTATAATTTATCTTTTTCATATCTGGTAATAGTTTCTCAGACTTTAATCTGTGTAAGTAATCAATATACTTTCAAATGAAATTTTACCATTTCAAAGAACAGATTCCAATACATCAGAGGATTTTTTTAGAGTTAATTGTAAAATCCTAAATTACTTAATATAATCCTATATTTATGATATAAATTGCAACCTTATATAATTACATAATCAATGTAGAGTACATGAATTTCTGTTAAATTCTAAATTAAGTTGCCTAATAATTTCTATCACCTCAGCTTGTCTCCAGATAGAGCTTATAGATTTAATGATACCCTCATTGAATTCATGCTTCTTTGTTAAAAACCTCGAGAGAATGAAATTCCCTCAATTCTCTTCTCTGTTCCAAAAATACAGCCAGTGTCCTCTGTCTTCAGTAGACCTAACCTAATCCTGGCTGTTACTAGGTAAGTCATCTGGCTCTTTCTGAAAGGAGATGGGAGATAACTGACTAAAACCCAGCTTTTAACTCCAGTTCAGTAGTCCCCAAAATATTTCAAACTGAAATATTGAATGGAAGAATATACTAATATGAACCCATGGAAAGATTCACAAGCGGGGGTGGGGGAACATTGGTATTGAAATCCAAGAGGCTTACTAGAAGATAAATGAAAGTAACCCTCCAGGAAGGTGATGCCTGGCCTTATCATTCTGGGTATATAGCCAGAAG